AGCGCTCGTTGTGAGTAGTCGGGGAGCGCAGTGGTGCTGTATCCTGAAGGTCAGGCTGCAACACAGACTCATAGCTTGTACATTGTTGTACATTACTGGGTTGCTCTAGGGGTTGGGAACCAAAACTGGAAAGTGACCCATAACTTGACTGCTCTGGCATAGAAGGGAGCTGGAATCCAGGCTGAAGAGACACAGACTGTCCACTGGGCTGGGACACAGACTGGTAGTGAGCTTGTGCTGACTGGTAGTTGGTTTGTGATGACTGCAGGCCACTGGGTTGCGAGACAGACTGGTATCGGGTCAGTCCTGGTTTTTGGCTACTAGGCTGTTGCACAGACTGGTAGCTGATGTGCGCTGACTGCAGGCCACTGGGCTGAGAGACAGGCTGGTATCGGGTCAGTCCTGGTTTTTGGCCACTAGGCTGTTGCATAGACTGATAGCTGGCTTGTGCTGACTGCAGGCCACTAGGTTGGGGCACAGACTGGTAGCTGGTTTGTGCTGACTGCACGCCACTAGGTAGGGGCACAGACTGGTAGCTGGTTTGTGCTGACTGCAGGCCACTGGGCTGAGAAAGAGGCTGGTATCGGGTCAGTCCTGGTTTTTGTCCACTAGGCTGTTGCATATACTGGTAGTTGGCCCGAGCTGACTGCAGAGCACTAGGTTGGAGCACAGACTGATAGCGGGCTTGTGCTGACTGCAGGCCATTGGGCTGAGAGACAGGCTGGTATCGGGTCAGTCCTGCTTTTTGTCTACTGGGCTGTTGCATGGACTGGTAGCTGGCTTGTGCTGACTGCTGGCCAAGACTTGAACTCAGGATGGGCCTGCCACCAGAAAATAGCTTGGAACCAACTTGAAGTCTACTTCTCTGGGGCTTGACAAAGGACTGGGCATTAGCTAACAGTAGACCACTGGACTGGGAGCCAGTCTGCACTGGTTGCTGGCTATTAGAGGCCACAGACTCATTACTAGTCTGCACTACAGTTTGATAGTCAAGCTGTGCTGGCTTGGGTACGGTCTTACTTCTCACACTTGTACTGAATGCAGTGGCTAGAGAACCAGAAACAAAACTGCCACCTGAAGATGTCAGAGAGCCTGGATTTTGCCTTCTAACATCAGATTCAGAACCAATGTTATATACACTTATCACTGGACCAGAGCCATAGGAGCCAGTTTGAGGGCTATAGCTTACATGGTTATGTAAACCATTACTTGTAGCACCATAAGTGAAATCCTTGGATCTTAGTGGCCTAAAGGGATCCGATACATCTTCTTGGTCATACCAGCTGGAACTTTGCTGCTTCACATCATCCTGCATTGGGAGGCCAGCCTCATAGTACCCAGGGTAACCTCCACTGCTAAAGCCACCAACTAAAACACAAATACAAAAAACGCAATCAAACAGATATCTTGACAAACCTGAATTATAGAACTTAGAGATGAGACATTTGACAGAGGCTCCAAAGCCCATTTTACTCCATTGAAGCAGACTTGTTTAAAAGACTGTGTCGAGGCTTGTATCAAATCTCTGTGATCACGTGACCGATGACGTTTGAGGCTTCATACGTCACAATGAAACCTGAAACGAAGTGACTGATTTGCATCTTTGGTGTGGCGTCATTCATTGTAAGGAAACGTGAAATGCTTGGTGCTCCCGCCCTGCTTCATAGTAACACTTTCATGTGTGGACAATAATTCTCAGAATGAAGACAGCTGCTATTGCAGAGTATTGCTTTTGTGTTGAAACTGGGATCAAGAAGATGTGTGAATCATTTGAAAGTGGCTGCTTTAATTGCAGCTGACCACTAGAGGTCACTGGTAGGGTCTGTCTTTGAGGCTTTAAAAGGGTCATCGGATACAAAATTTCACTTTTGTTGTTGTTTGAACAAATGCGTGTTGGAAGCAATAGCGAACCGTGACTCTAGAACCTAGGCCCTCTCCCCCTACCCTCGTCAGGGGAAAGAACAAACTACCAGCCTAGCTTACGGTGTCCCCTTCTAAGTCATCTGACAATTCCACCTCTGAAACAAGAGGCCATTCCAGCCTTAAGGCGGTCGCACACTGGAGGACAAGTGTAGCGTTGCATCATACCGCACACGTCTATAATATTTGCACACAATGTTTTCTTTTCTATGAGTGCACGCACACCGGCGGCGCCACCGGTGACTGTCCACAGATCCCAGCTGTGACTCCGGGTACGGTTCATAATCCTGCCGTGCCACAGAGCAGCTCTCGCATCATTTTCCATTAATATACATTATATTTGTACCAAATCATTGTTAATGTACACAATGACTTAATCCTAGGCCAGAAGATTGTGCTTTTTTTTTTCTTTCAGCACAACGTTTGTCTTTGTGGCTCTAAATTTCGTGATTCATTTAGTGAGGTATAAGTTAGATCATCCCGTTTGCGGTTTATTTCGATCCCCGTACTTTAAACTAATTGGCACCACTTGCTCATTCTTGAAGTTAAGTTTTGACTGTTTTGGGAATAGATTAAAGGTTTTGGACTGCCGTCTTGCTCTGAAGTTGTGCGATACGTGTTGCACCGGGGAACTGCGCTTCTCATCCAGTGTGCGCCCACAACAAAATCGTACAGGGAGAGTGATTGATATTACCAAAATAAAACAGCTAAATTGAAGTCAAATGCAAATCCTCATTACAAATGAATCACAAAATATACAGACACTCAATCCCTCCTACCACACAAAACCAGACAATACACCATGACAGCGCTCACAGCAAATTGGTGACAGACACTTCAAGACAAACAAGCATTGTTTATAATAAATATAATTGGCACAGCGGACTAGTAAATGTCCTCACTTACGTTCTTTGTGGCTTCCATAGTGATGTGAATAGCTAGTTAGATTTATCAGCGTACATCTTTTCGATAGAGATCCCAGCGGGGGATTAAGATTACTTGTCATAAAGTTAGTCATACCAAGGCCCGCCCATTTAGAGAAAAGATATGATTGGTCAACTTCTGTCATTTGAAACTACTCTCCCATTGATTTACTATTGCTTGGCCCTCTGTAATTTCACAGCTGGACCTCCAATCACAGAGCCACAGACGCTAGGTGGAAACATTCTAATATGGAGAAAATGGGCGGTGCTCATTAGCCCATTCACTGAATAGGCAGATTTGGAGAGGTTTTTTTTTTTTTTAACTCCGATAAATTGTATTTTATGTAGATGTTATTATGAATATCTTAAATACAATTTATTATTTTTATTTAAAATACTAAATTAACATTTAAAAATTGTCAATATTGTTTTTACAGTAAGTTAGGCCCTCTCTGAGGGCCCTGACGGTTTCCCACTGGTTAGAAGTGTGTAAACATCCATCCTATAAGAAAAATCCAACCAATGGTTTTTTTTAAATCCTTATTTTAAACTCCTTTCTCAAATCAGGCTGTTCTGAGATTCCTGTCAGAATGACGTAGTTCTGCACAGGCCCCTCCCACGATAGTTGATTGACAAGGCAGTCTTACCTTAGACCTGCCCTGAGTGAGCTGCCATCAGTCCGCCATTGTGTCGACTCCAGTGCAGGGGAAGACAAGAAAGTCTCAGATTAAGCTATTGAGGCGTTTTGTTGTTGGATGTAATAATGAATATAGCAGTCATAATTTACTCCCGAGTCCCGACATCTGAGCCACTGAAGATGCAGAGGATTAACGTTACTTTCGTTTTGAAGGGAATGCACCGATCCCCGATCTGCCTAAATGCGTCTAAGTTCGCACGAATCATTCGTGATAGAGTTTCATCTACAGAAGTAGCGAGTAGAAGGTTTTTTTATGAATCTTTGCAAATCGCCTTTCCTAATATGTGCTAGTTAGCAAGTTTCGTGGCTAAAAGTAAACCGTACTGCTCATCACCCCACAGAAGAGAGGGGCGGGGTGAGCAGAGCTCATTAGCATTTAAAGCAACATGGACTAGAACGACGTGCTGAAAACGGAGCTGATTTTGACAAGGTAAAAAGGGTGTTTTTTTTTTTTACACTACCATTGACAAATTTTAACCAAAGTATGTTATAGACTTTCCATTAAGACCCTAAAGAATCATATCAACTTAAATCAAATGGGCATCCGATGACCCCTTTAACTTTGAATCTTTTTTTTGGTACAATCAGGAAAAAAAGCTTCACAAGGCTTCATCTGCCCATCTCTAATAGAACTTGACTGAATAAGACTTACCACTTCCAATATGCCCATGGACACAAAAGCCAAAAAGTGCTAGAGAAAATCTGCAGAAAAAATACGCTTGTTAAACACTTTGCTTTATAGGAAAAAAAATAAATACAAAGGACAGAAACAACAAATTAAAGTTAAACCTTAAGAGTTGGACAGTGGTACGCTCCATGTTCAACAACAAAAACCAAAACAAAAAACCTTAACAAAACCAATACAATATCAGGAAACACATCTGTCCCCCCCACAGCACATATTAGCGCTGTTGAACTGGACTTTTTATAGTGCCTGCTACTGCCAATTGTCAGACAATCAGTTGTCATGGGAACATGTAATATACAGTTATTAGGTTCAGGTGTCACAGCCCTCATTACAGGAAAAGCTGACCTTCTATTTCAGACTTATTGAACTGATTTTGTCAAGCATATTTTTGTTTTACAGAATGAATGCATTCAATGAAAAAAAAAAAAGATGTTAGCGTTATTTAAAATATATTTTTACCAGATTTAATTGCCTATATTACTAGATTTAATAAGACATGTCTATGAAAGAATAATGAATATAATATTCCTATGGAGAGAACTGTGTACAGCTTCTCCAAACATTGAATATTAAACAACATATAATGAAAATTTGATAATGCTAAAAATCATAAGAAAAAATTAATCAGAACATATGGCTACTTTTAAATGGCTGTCATTAGAGAAAGATGCTTTTTGTCCCATAATTTTTTATTACGTCTTAAATTGATTTTTCCGTACATTTCTGCCATATGTACATTAATTGACAGTCACCACTGATAAGCTACCACTAAATATTGTAGAAACTTAATTTGCTGTAAAGTTGCTTTGCAATGATTTGTATCGTGAAAAGCGCTGTACAAATAAACTTGACTTGACTTGACTTGAATTATATATAGATCAGTGGTCGCGCTGCGCCGCATCCAGGGTAGACAGCATCACTGATTATAATGAGTTCTATACAGTGGGGGCTCCAGGATTTTTTGGTTGGGGGCGCTGGGGGGGAGGGGGGGTGCTAAAAAACTAATTAAATTGAGTGAAAGTAATGAACGTCTATAAGCTTCAGCTATCTAAATAGCATGCAAATTCATCCACCTTGTGTTTTTTATATACTGTATAGCAGCTTCGAAAAAAGCACATTTCAATTTTTTTCTGTGGTATTACACTTCTCATATGCCACCGTTATTAGTAATATAACTTATAATGACAACTGCAGAATATGACACTTACAAATTAATACAATTTATGAACGCACATAGAAAAGAGATTTTTTTTTTCATTTTCATTGTTTCATTTTATTTTTATTTATTTTTTGACATTTTTTCTGACCATCAAGTGTCAGTCACTCTCAATGCCAACTGGCAGGAAAACATGGTAAATTCTAACCGTTTTTTCAATAGATATAGTGCCGACAATTCATACAACTATTTCCACACAGTGGCATAGCAGACGGGCACGCACTGCGGGGGGCCCCGCGATAACCTCCCCGTACTGAGTTGCGTCGTATCATGTGTCGACGATAGCCAGAGATATTGTCAAAAGCATCAAAAATTTGCAATATTAAGAGGATTTAGCATTTCCAATTAATGTAGGCCTGTTACATTCTTCTTATTATTAGGTCTATTATTATTATTAGATTACTTTTATTATTAAATTACATGAAATTATTGCCCCGCAATAATTTCATAGCGCATCACCGCATGACGCGCTGTGAGGATAGGCCCTAATTAAAGTTTAGGCTATTAGTGTAACAGATCGGCCAGGCTCCACCACCACCCAATCACAACGATCCCTCTCACCTGAGTTCTGAGCACCTGCACCTGTCACTAATCAAGCACCTCATCAACCAGCCTGCATAAAAGCACACACCCTCATCGTCCGGTCTCGTACACACGTATAGGACTCTCTGACTTTACTACTGGTTCCATTTGAATACTTCCTGCATTACTTGCCTCTTGTGGTCCTCCTAGTGTCTCCTGTTCCTCCTAGTTCCTGGATCGCTGAGGTGTGTGCGCTCTCCCTTGTGCATTCCAACTCCTGTAAGGAAAGGACTCTGATCATTCCAACCAGGGCCGTTTCTAGGCATAGGCTAGCTAAGCAGTCGCCTAGGGCGTCACTAGCTGAAGGGCTGCAAATGAGCGCACGTACTGGCACTTTTAGCAGGGTTGTGAAAATGTTTTTTTTTATTGGTCTTATGGAGTATTCTAATTTGTTGAGATAGTGAGTTGGTGGGTTTTTGTTAAATGTGAGCCAAAATCATCACAATTAAAAGAACCAAAGACTTAAACTACTTCAGTCTGTGTGCATTGAATTTATTTAATACACGAGTTTCACAATTTGAGTTGAATTACTGAAATAAATGAACTTTTCCACGACATTCTAATTTATTGAGATGCACCTGTATACTCTCTGTGACCAAAATAAACTTGATTGTTATGCAAACCTGTTGCGTCAGGCCTCTTCCGTTACAATTAGCTTACTCCTCATTGAAAAGGTAAAAAAAAATTTTTTTTTTTTTTTTTTAAACGGGTCTATAAATTTATACAATGAATTATAGGCCTATAATTAAAATTTTTAACACTGCAGTCATCAATGAACATTAAGAGCAGCTTTATTTTCGGGCACCGATTTTCAAAAACAACCTGTTTAACGCGAAATTCGTTTGTTCTCATGTTTTTCTCTATACGGGCCACAAGAGAAACATTAATAATTTAAGACAGTTATATACCTTTATCAGCATATGTTGAACTAGTTTCGTCTCTCGTTGTCTCCGAGAATATGCGCTGTTAATGCAGCGTTAGAAAGCTCCGTCAGTTTTTTAACTTTCACTTTCTCTATAGTGAATTGACTGACGTTCACCGGCATAACTCTTGTGCACAGTTTGCGCGTTGCTTGCTTGTGTTGCTTGACCCCTCCCCCATAATATCAATTGTTTATAGGCCACATATTAGGCACTTCTTTTTTTAGGTTTTTAATGTTAATTTTTCAAAGTTAATGAAAGTGACACCAAAAAACAGGAACATCTTTAGGAAATCCTTGGGGGGGCTGTGTGGGGCTAAGCAAGTTTCTGATGGGGCTATAGCCCCGCCCTAGCGCCACCACTGTTCTATAGTATTTTGTCGCGCCGTGCCGCTCGCGTCCGGTGTAGACATGCGCTGCGTTCGAAACCGCATACTTGCCTACTATCCACCTTTTTCTTGTCGTAAAAATGGGCGCGGCCATTTGTAAATTCTATGGGTCTGGCTTCCGGTCTGATCTGTGTCCAACTATTTTTAGCTGTACAAAACAGTTAGTTTTGCTGCTTGATATTGAAAATCGGTGTGTCTTATCATATTATTTTAATGTATTATCTTAATTATGAACACACTGGTTTGTAGTGCAAACAGTTTTACTGTTTACTGCACGTTGTTATTTTCCTGGTTATTTACCAACAGCAGCTAATGAACCGGAAGTCTCACACATAGGCTTACTTCCGCGTTGAAGAAAAAGGTGGATATAGTAGGCAAAAAGCAGAAGGCGAGCGAATTAGTATGTTTGAACTCTGAGTATTCATAAAAGAGTAGGCGAGAATTACCTGGCTGGTGCACTAATTCTCGCGAGATTCGGATGTAAAGAGTACGTGAAGAAAGAAGTACGTTCGAAACATCTCAGTTACGTATGTAACCTTGGTTCCCTGAATAGGGGAACGAGATGCTGTGATGACGTCATCGCTTTGGGAACATCTTCGGTGTGACGAATGTCTGAAGCCCTTATACCATCATGCCAATTTATTGGCCAAATAGCGCTTAGCACCAACCCCAATGCGCACGTAGGTGAGCTATATCAGCGTGCTGCGCGCTATTTCATCAGATTTCCACTGGTTTACGAAGGAAGCGCTATCAAAGTACGGAACGGCCCAGCATCGCAGCATCTCTAGCCGTGCGGTCGACATAGATCCTAAGTGCCCTAACTGGGCAGAGACTCAGGCCAACTGGCCCCTCCTCAGCTGGGGAAAAAGCCTCTAAGACCACTTGCTGAAAGTGAAACGGAGTCGAAGCGACCTTAGCAACATAATCAGGCCTAGGTCGCAAAAAGACTTTAACCAGTCCTGGGGCAAAGTCCATACACAAAGGACTGATGGAGAGAGCCTGAAGATCCCCTACCCTCTTAAGGGAGGATAAAGCCACCAAAAGAACCGTCTTGAGGGTCAAGAGCTTCTCTGACACAGACTCCAACGGTTCAAAAGGATGGCCTGTCAGGCCCTCCAACACAATCGATAAGTCCCAAGAAGGAACTCGAGCTGGGCGGAAAGGCCTAAGCCGTCTCGAACCCTGCATAAAACGGGAGACCAGAGGGTGGCGACCAACCGAAACACCTCCTACGAGTGCATGTCCCGCGGATATGGCTGCCACGTACACCTTAAGAGTGGCGGGGTAACCCCCTCAGAGAAACGACTTTGAAGAAACTCCAGTACTGAACCGATGGGGCAATGGACTGGATCCAGAACGCGCTGTCTACACCAAGAGGCAAAAAGTCTCCACTTGAAAGCATATAAGCGTCTCGTGGAGGGAGCCCTAGAATTCATAATAGTGTCGGTAATCTCAGCCGAGAGACCAGAACACATTAGCGTACTCCGCTCAGGGGCCACACCCATAACCTCCATAATTCCGGTCGAGGATGCCAAATCATGCCCCGAGCTTGTGTCAACAGATCGTGTCAGAGGGGAACCTCCCACGGAGGGCCGGCTAGCAGACTGACCAGGTCCGAGAACCACGACTGAGTGGGCCACCACGGGGCCACCAGCAGCAGGTGCTCCACTCTGTCTGATCGTATTCTGAACAGAACTGCTGGGAGCAACCGGATTGGGGGAAAAGCATAAAGATTGGTCCTGGGCCATTTGTGGGCCAGAGCATCCAGACCTAGAGGCGACGGGCATAACCTCCATAATTCCGGTCGAGGATGCCAAATCATGCCCCGAGCTTGTGTCAACAGATCGTGTCTGAGGGGAACCTCCCATGGAGGGCCGGCTAGCAGACTGACCAGGTCCGAGAACCATGACTGAGTGGGCCACCATGGGGCCACCAGCAGCAGGTGCTCCACTCTGTCTGATCGTATTCTGAACAGAACTGCTGGGAGCAACCAGATTGGGGGAAAAGCATAAAGATTGATCCTGGGCCATTTGTGGGCCAGAGCATCCAGACCTAGAGGTAGCTCACCAAGTCAGTAACTCGCCTGAGCTCTTTAA